TTCAATCCTCGTCTTAGAACCAGACCTGCTGCCCCAGTAAAATTTAGTGAAATAAAACATAATATGTGATGTGGTAATAATTCTGCTGTTGAAGCAGAAAAAGTTAACCTCCAGGATTGCGTGTTTTACAGAACTAAACCAGAATATGATACAAATATCACGATCCCTTTTGTCCCTCAAATGAATTTTAAAAACAATTATATCGAATTGACTAAGTTGTAGGAAGTACCAGTTATCAAATGAACTATCGTAGTAAGAAGGCTGTAATGATGTCCACCCGAATTGATCTACTTATAGAAAATCCAGTCCTTTTCAGAAGTTTAGCAAAAGCAGATTGAAGGTTTGGGGGGAGGGGAGGTTAGGTAGCCCAACGTTGTTGACAGAGAGTCATGTTTTAAAGTTATTTACATCGTAAAAATATAATTTGAAATTTATGTCGCAGTTCGCTCTAAGGTGGAACGTGTTCCTAAATTAATCAAAATGGCTACTGAGTCAAGAGAGACGTGAGGCACAGACCCGCATATTCATGTCACGTAGTGTTGGACTGTACGTCACCTAACTTAGCCATGACAATATGTTTGATTCAGGGTCGTGTTCTACACCTACTGATGTCAAAATTCGACTCCTGTGACGAGGGAAAGAATAATTTTATATTTTCTACTCTTTTCGACGCTTTGTGATTGGTCAAGAAACTCGCCCTACTTCCCCAGCCAGTCAAATGCAAGTCTAAAATAGAGCGAAAATTATCCCCTTCATTCCCTATGACTGCTGTAAGTTTTACGTCTCCTCAGAGCGTGCTTTTCAGCGGATTTCTGTCCAGTTACGAGTGGGCCGAAAACTCGAGAAAAATTATTAGTTTCGCTTCCAAAATGCACCGCGCAGTAAAACTGAATATCTCAACTGTTTTCTCGAGATAACCAAATAGATATCTGTGCATATTATCAAAGTGTCGGCTTAGAATCTGTAGACACATGGAGAAGAAGTTAACCAGTCCATTGAATAAATCTTAAGCGGAAGATAAGCCTGTATCGCTCACAAAGAAATCAGAAACTGAAATAGATTGTAACAACTTATTTTTTAATCAGTAACGTCTGATTAGGAGAAAAGTTAGCTTAACATAAGATTGAGAAATGGCAACCTTACTTCTTAGTTGTTTCACACTCATTTTATCGCTTTACATAATTATCATTATTTGAGACAGCATTCTATTTTACATTTAAGCATATATTATTCAATTCATACTCTACTGCTCATGTGTTATATTTCTCCAAATGTTCTATATCCATACTTCTTTGCGGCAGAAAAAGTCTTTAGTTATTCATAGTAGTCAGCATCTTCAAGTACGCTGTTGTCTGTACTGTCTGAACGAGCCTGTTGTAAAATAATATAAAAGCACGTTAGTATTAATAGTAATCCCGGCATGTTTAATCGTTCCAAATATCTAAAAAAGTTCTTAACACCAAATGTTATTGTGACCGTTTTGCTCTCACTTCTTAATTCATGGCAGGAAGGTCTGCGGTTTGCAATAACTGCACCTACGGTACTTTTTATCTAATTGGTATGCTTCGCAATGTTCGCGAAATTTCTCATCCCACGCAGAGCATTCACGATAAATAAATTTCAAGTTTTTCTTGTTAACCAAAGAAGACCTACTTGTCTGCTGTCATAGCTGCGTTTCTTTCCGTTGAAGCAGTTCGAGTTTCTTCGAGTCCAAACAAGACAGTTTGGATCAAACATGCTCCTCAGCTGCTGCCGTTGACGCCACTCCTTAACTCTGTCAGCAACGTAGTCTTGAGATTCATCTTCGAAGTCTTTAAACTTCTCATACTCTTCTCCTCGAGATGTAGCCAAGAATAAAAGTACCGTGGCCAGAGGCAGCACAAAAAGTGTCTTCATTTTACTTGTGTGTATTTTGTTATACGACTCAGTGGGAATTGAGGCGTGTGAGGCGGCCGCGGATCTAAAATGAGGACGGTGATTTGCCGAAGAAGTTTTATAACTGATTCGTTGTTTTAACCCCGCCCTAAACGACCATAGGGGCTTTGAACACCTTAATGTGGCAGTTCTAATAACGACTAGTGCTCTGAGTAATTAAATTCAATCAAAAGCTTTGTGGTTTTTTTCTTTTTTTTTTTTGAATAGAAAATCGCTGTGGCCAAACAGTTTCGACTTCCTTTATTCTTTGCAGTTTTTCGACTAATTGGAAATTTAATCCAAGCAGATGCTGCACAGATTTCATTGAAGACGCCTTTTCTTCTTTATTCACCGTTTGGGAGGTTTCTAAGTTGTTTTTCAACCAGACGTTTCGTCTATTTTGATGATTTTCAGGAAACGAAACGAACCATAATAAATTCAAGCTTCCTTTTTCGGTTTTTTTCGATAAGTTAATTTAACATCTGTTTATAAGATGAGCGAGTAATTAGTGACCAAAGTGAATTGACATTGTACGACCTCCCTGAATAGCAATATTCTCTCCGCTTGATACAAAGTAAACACTTTGAATTTGTATTTCTTTCTTTTATTAACCTAAGCACTCTGAAGAAATGTTTTGCTTTTATAAATTGCCGCAAGCAATATAATTAAATCGGCTACAGCCAAAAGGACGTTTTTTCGCTTTTGAAGACCGAAAAGCAACCCTCTGTGTAGCAATTCTAGTTTCTTTTTGAAATACATATACTATGTGTCTCGTGCAGGGAAGTTTTGAATCAGCCGAACACATCTGTGGATATGGATTCGGCAATGGCTCCTTGTTTTTAACTTTCTAAACCAAATTCAAAACCTTTCGTACATTAAAATTCCCTATGTCATTCACACAAACGGTTCTGTCATCCTAAACACACTAAGAAGAACTATCTTTAGAAAGTTGGCTCAACTGTAACTCAGTTTGCGAACAAAATGCACTGAAAATAAGCAAACATCTAACAAAGGCTTACTGGGACAAAAATTGACATTAATTATTCTGCCTAATGACTTAAACCTGCAGGAACACACCAGAAAGATATAGACTGTTTCTCCAGATGTTTCTCCTTCATGACAAGGTCATCTAAACAAGTTCAGGTTGCTTATTGTTCGAACGGCAAGATACGTTAATACCAGCGAAATGGTGGCTCTGTGGAATACACCGCTCAGGTGAAGTCAGCTCAAAACTGTCTATTTGAAGTGAAACTTTAGCTGCACCGTGGAGTTTTCTGTCTTAAAAAATGTTCTACTAGACAGGATATTATCTTTAATTAGTATATACCACATAGATGAACATTACTTTTCGCGTGCGCTGATTGGCGATTTTCGAAGTGGTCAGCAAGAACTGCTCACCTCCGAAGAAACAAAATTGCGCGTCAAGAGTTTGATTTCCAACTATTTTACAGTATATTGACAGAAATAAACTCATTCCTTCGGTTTTTGCGATACATATATACTAAAACAATTGTTCACGTCAGTGTCGGGGAAAGCGGTGGATATTTACCAAGTCGCGAACCCACGACTATTCACCTCCACGTCGGGGAATAATTTTTTATTGTACCAAGTTTATTTGGTGAGTGAACACCTCAACATAATTACAACGAAAACCTTAATTTTTGTCTTACAGAGACAAAAATGAATAACCTTTCCATAAGGGTTGACATTCTGGTAAACAGAAATGGAGTTTTTACAACAAAGAGCTGAGATTTACAGGTTTGATTGTCACACTACACTGACAGCCCGTTAGGGCCCAATCACATTCTCTAGATATACTTTCGCGTACCACCTGGTAAAAAAAAAGAAAAAAAGTAACGACCGATATCATCTACAGAATTTAAAATTCAACCTCACTGTAAGAGAACATGCTCATGAAAGCAGCGCTGATTTAAAAATATTGCACTTGGTCAGAAAAGAAAGCAAACGGTGACAATGCAAGCATATTTAGTCTCAGTGGGTGATCTTTTAACGTAGAACTTCCTTTTTCAGAACTTTAATTGCTTTCCACCCTCGCTTCGAGGCATTTTCTTGATGAATTATTTTAATTGCTTTAACCGAAGAATGACATGGAGTTTTCTTCGCATCAAAAGATTTCTATCATAGCTACTTGGCTGCAATGGATAACAAATCTTCAATTGGTTTTTTCGAGGAAGATTGAAAACACACAAAAAAAATATTTGCTTTGTGTAGTGGCGGAGATTTCGCAGCTGTTTCTGCCATGTCCATCACGGATGATCTTTGTCACAAGGGGAAATAGTCAAATAGTTGTATCAACAACAGAACCTGTTACCAACTGGGCACGGTCTAAACTCGAACATGAACTTCAGACTAAAGCTTAATCAACCGAAGCAAATCGGTACACCTTGAGATTATGGTCTTGTGTTATGTATTTTCTTTGTAGAGAGCAAAGATACAACCTCTACTGCCCATGTAATAAGTGCAGTTAGACCATAATGAAGTGTGCTAAGGTAGTTAATGACAAACATCCTTTCATTCATGAAAAACTAAACTGTTCCGCTTAAACCGAAGAGCTTTGGAAAATAATCAACGTTAATCGAGAATGAATAGAATTAACGGGCTACGAAAACGACCAAAGACAAAATTTGGCCTTTCCATAAACTTCGCAAGATAGAAGTGAAAACGACGGTCAGCCGTGAACATCTGTTCTCTAAATCCCACTTAAGCAGAGAGATTGATTTCTCAAGGAAAAAGAAATGACTCAATGCAGCTATTGATCACAGAGGTGGGACACCGCAATTTTTACTAAATTTTCTGTTGTAATTGAATTTCCTCATTTGAATTCTACCTCAATCGACAATACGGAGCCTTTATTGTCTCTATAATTAGCTGAATCATAGATATTGGCTTGTACAAAGCAGCTTGTAAACTCATAATCGGTTCGAAACAGTTAGAATAAATAATGTGAAGTTGAGAAAACGGAGCACTTTTTTACTTTGAATCAAAGTTCTACGCCCAATTTGAGAAAGTTTTGAGAACATCGATCAAGCATACGCTTTGGAATTACTCTAAATCGTTTCTATCTTTATATTTTATTTTATCAATGCCTTTTATGACAGAAAAATTGAGTAAAATTTATTAGATAGGTCGAGATTTATGTGCCTAACAATGACGTGTAAAGGATCCGATGGCTTTACTCTGCACGGCCTTTAATTGATGGTCCACATGAAACGCGACATATTTGCCTCTCTTCATAGCTGGCGTGTTTTAAGTTCAGAGGCAAACTCGTCCATTTTACAAACAGTCTAAAGCTTCAGATTGAAAATATTAGTTTTTTTTACAGAAAATCAGCTGAAAAAGGCAACGATATCGCTAATTTATGATTGTATGAGGCTAAAACCTGCGATTTAAAGTAAGAAACGAATCGGAGGAATTTGCGCTCCCCTCCCCTTACGGGTACGAGATCCAGAGAGAGGCACAGCAGACGCCAATAGAATGTGAAATGTTCTGGATCCTTCCATCCTTCAGCAAATTGTGTACTGGTACCTGCTGGCTCATGACAAATGATTTGCATCACAACCGATGGAGATTGAGAGTGCAAGTTAACCAAACGAAATTGAGCATTCAAGGGATTTTCTTTCACGTTCTTATCACGGATGAAAAGCGTGGAAATGAGAACTTGAACGATACCCCTTGCAATATTACCAGGCGATCATGATTAACCTTTAAATCAGGAGAAAAAAATGGCAAAATTGCTCAGTGTGGAATCTTTCCCCCTGTATATTTACAATCGGGTGTTATGAATTAAAGTAGGTTGTATTTCTCAAATAGCACTTAAAAGACTGAGAAGACGAGCTGTTCTTGCTTAGTAGAAGCATTGATTCCATTGAGCCGGTCGTAAGTACAGACCGACGTCAAATTTCAAACTGAGGCTTATATAGTAAAAACAAAGTAAAATGGAGATTTGAAAGTTTTATCTCCAATGACTGTATTCAAATGAGGAAAAGGAGAGAGATGTTGTAAAAAGGATATTTCTTACATTGCTCTCGGTTTTCCTAATTGACATTAGGGTCTTCATCTGAAGACTGTTTAGGGTAGTTCGCATTAAAAACTTGGCTAGCGATTTATATAAGACCCTCATTTAAAAAAAAAATGGTTTTGTTTAACCCTCATTTTAAAGTTGACGCATAGGGTAGCACGTGTCCGAAGTTGTATTTTTGTTGTATAGAAAGATATGTTACGTAATTACACCAATTTTGATTGTTTAAAAGAAGTGGACATTTTGAAAGCGTCCAAAAATGGCATTCCTATCACCACTTGTGGATGATTTTCAGAAAGATCGGCGTCAGCTTGTCATTAAAATGCTACTTCGAAAATTAAAGCCTGAATAACTGAGTCAGGAGAAAAAGACTTGGGGAAAACCAACAAAAATAAACAATCCGTCAAAGCCATAGAGTAAAATGCATTACTTTTCGCACGCGTCTTTTTCTCTCGTCTGTGGGAGAGTCAATAGATAAAGTTGATACTAGAAAATAAATCAGTATTTCTCTAAAAGTTATTTCTCTCTCTTAAGTATCCATTTGTGCTCCATCGTGTGATATTCGAAATTTTGTAGGGGCTAGGTCTATCATTTATCACATTCGATCTGTCATTCTATCATGTCAGAAGAAGACTCAACCGATGACACAATGTTGTAATAGAAATGGGTCTCGCTTAGTTGATTAAAATCGAGATATGGATTGTCTTTCATCATTAATTCTTCTAGTGATACCATCATTTGTTCAAATGTGGGTCTTTTTCTGGGATCCTCTTGCCAGCAATTCAACATGAGTGAATATCTAATGGAGGAGAAACGACAATATGTCACAAACAGTGAGAGGGGACAAGGAAGGGTTCAATCAGATGCGAAGTCAGTATAAACAGTATAAACACCCGATTCCCTTCCCCTCCTGAAGCTTTTTTAGTTAAACCTACGCTCTCAACATGATACTTATACATCCTAGAAAATTTGAGTAAAAAATTGTAGAATCCTGTACACTGGAAAATCTGGTGAAATACATACAATTCCTCTGAGCAGCTCTGAGGTCTTTCCAAACGATATCCAGTTTTGAGGAGACTGCTTAATTCGCTGTTTTTGGTGCCTGGATACGGTGTACCACCTGAAAGCAAACATGGTATAGTGAAGATTTGCTCGATGAACTCGTTTCCTCTTTTTTCGTGGAAGAAATAGGAATATAACTGAGCTATGGAAATTTTCGGGTTACCCATTTCTTTTGTGTTCTAAACATCAAAATCATAGGTAAAGAGTTCTCATTTTCTTTGCACCTACACGACGTATATTCTGATTATTATAAGCCGGGCTGATGGAGTGAACTAATTAGCTCGGCTCTGAGGGAAAACTCAGAAAGATATTAAAATCAATCAAAAATTTGGTGTGCAAAGAGAAAATGTCATTTAAACGTGTTCTTCTCACCTAATGTGGATATTTCCCAAAGAAGAATGCCATAGGACCAACTAAAATATACAAAAACAACATGCATGAGATCAAGGAAATAATAGACACTTTATCGTATATTTAAAACTTTTCATCTGGTAAAAGTCCATGTTAATTTGGAGCATGTGGTCAGGACGTAGAACGTATAAAATAATTGGGACTAGTGTATATTAAACTTATTTTCATGTTTAATGCAGAAGTCTCCTTCAGCTCAGTGTTAGAACATCCAAAGTCAAAGTTGGATCATAATTGACACCAGGTGTCGGGAATATTCAGAAGTAGGCACAATTATGATTGTCTCAATGATCAGATATAAGCCGATTATTCCCAACCAAATTAGAGAGAATATACTGAAATTTTTTTTAGCGATGTCAAATTAAGAACAACTTTCCTTCAAAGATTAAAAAGGCCGGTCCAATTCACTTTCTCAAGGAAAAAAAAGTGAGAATTACTACCTTTCGCTCTCTACATTAGGAGTGAAATTTGTAACTGAAATGGGAGATGTGACATCTATTTTAATTTTTGATGAAGCAGGAAAGTTTTGACAAAGGCTTTCTCCGTCAGGCATGAAGAGGTTTGGCAGAGCTCCCTATAAGTAATATTCAATCTTAATCATGATCGTTGCATACCTAAGAAAATGTCTTTGGGCAAGAAGAGATTGATTTGACGTGATTGACTTACAAACGTCGTTTTCCTTCTTTTACCAATGAAAGCATTTATAACGTTGATTCTGCCCAACTAATTATGCAGATTAAATCTATTTGTTTGTTACAGAAAATAAGCTCACACATCGCTCCTTGTGGTGTAGATGCTGTCTTTTAGCGCTTCAGGTGCCATCCATTTCACTGGAAGCTTTTTCTGCCTTTCCACCTTGTACAAATCAGAGTGGCGCATCAAGCCGAAATCAGCAATTTTGACAAGTTTATCTTTTCCAACGAGAATGTTACGAGCCGCCAAATCTCGATGAATGAATCCCATAGCTGATAGGTAACTCTGTAGGGATAGAAAAAAAAGATTAGCAGCACTGAAACAAACCACCATTAACTGAAAAAGGTCTGCAAAGGTGTACAGAGATAGCTGAATAGTTAACCTAGACAATCTGGTAAGTGGCTGTAAGCCAATCCTCTATACTAAACTTAGTATGAAAGCAGCAAAAACAACAGATCTCCATTCAATATACATGGTCTTGACATAGCACAGCTGATACTGCACCAAACTGATATCTATGTGAAACATCATGGAGACCGATCGAATTGTTTGTTTGTTTTCTTTTTTTCCTGGATGGGGGTGGTGGGGAAGGTAAATTTGTCCCGCATGTATTGACTATTCCTTATTGCTCACCATCCCTCGAGCTATCTGCCATGCAAAGCTAAGCATATCTTTAGCAATCGTATCTGATGCTTCGTAAGTGGTATCATTAGAACTGCTTTCTTGGAAGTCGTCAACCACGCTGTTTACATTTATGGGTGCATCACAAGGCTGATGACACTCCTGCCTTAAGAGAGGTTTCAATTCCAAACCACTATCTTCTCTCTCCTTTTGTTCCAAGCCAATTTTCTCACTTGGTAACTCTTTTATATTTCCTAAAATTTCCTCTTTCAAATATTTTGGTTCAACATCTCCCTTGTCATCATTTGTATATCTGATTTCATCGTTTTCTTTTTCATCCTGTGTTATTTCTTTTGGATCACTCTTATATCGTTCTTCTTCTGCGTGTATTTTCTCCAAGTTACTCGAGGTTTTCCCAACAGATGGCTCTTCTTGTGATACTTTAGTTTCATTAGAAACATTTGATGTCAGACGTTCAGTGCTTTGAAGCTGTGGGAACTTCACGGGGTCTATCTTTCGATATAAGGAAAATAAGAAATGAGTCACAATAATGCTGGTAACAATTATGATATAATTAATTTAATTCATTATATTTACGATCCATTTTCAGTAGTATCTCCGATAAGAAGGAAAACCCTAATAGGATGTTGAGACATTCAAGTTCGTTTTCAGCAATCCTAACATGACAAAAATATACTCTGTATTTGCTTATTAATTTAACCCCTAAAAATTTTCAAGCGCAATAACAAAGACACATTTTATTTCCAATCAAGATAATCACTCGTCAAGGATCACCCCACGTCAGGTTGTTATAGTACTGAAAGCTAATTTTCAAAATGGCTATCGAGCGATTGTTAATGTTTCTGAAAGACAAAATAAAAAATGAAAAATACAATTCCTCTGATTATCACATAAGTAATCATAGTGAGTCAACTAATAGGAAAAATGGTAGGTAAAGATACAGTCCCATTTAAATGAACAAACAGTTAAGAACAAACATGAAGGGATCATATTTGGAAGTTAGCACTGTTGGGTAGTGATGGTTTATCTCTTTTGTCCTCCTTACTTGATATCTCTTCTCCCTGAGCCAGGTTAGCAAATCTCCATTTGGAACATACTCCAACAACAGAAGGAAAGGTTCAGATCTGGTCCAGAAACCAATCATGCGAAGGACATTCACATGGCAGCCGATCTGCTTCATGAGATCAATTTCCTCCAAAAAAAGCTCTTTATCTTGTTCGTTTGCCAATGCTATAGAAAAGTAATTTCAATGATTAAAAATCATTGATTCTAATTATTTTCCACTGTTTATCAGCAGTGCATGTCATTCACTTCGACTCACGTTTAAAGAAACGCTACAAAAACCAAGACGTAAAGTTGGTGATAGATTTCGATTTACATCGCCCATTGAAAGGTTACATTTCTGATTACTTGCTTCTCAAGTAATACTGTATAAATTTGATAAAAATTCATGTAGCTTGAAAATTTGTAAACCACCTAATTTTCCCCTTTGCCATATAATCGTGAACAAAACTGATACAAAGGAAATGAACGTGAAAACTGTTAAGAAAAACGTAAACAAAGAAAACATGTATACCTAAAAAGGAATAAAAGGAAAAATTGTAGAAAAAAATGTGAGCTTCAATGATCCAAAGCAAAGTAAAGTTTCCTAACCACTCAGAACTTTAACAGCAATAACTTTTCCCTCCTTGAATGGCACGCGCTTCTCTCGAATGCCGTGATAGAAAACTTCCACTCCTGGGGATTCCCTTAGCACTCCTTTGTGAACTTTTCCAAATGCTCCTCGGCCCAGTTCTTCGAGCAAAGTCACCTGCTCAGGCCAAACTTCCAAATATTGAAGAGTTGTGATGTCTGACTTGGACCTGAATAGATGCACTGATATCAGTCGAATGCACTGATTCATTCACGACAGACATGAGTATTTAAAGCCATAAGAGTGAAATATTTTATAATTGTAACTGACTAGGTCATTTATAATAGTTTAAGTCAAACACTTTTCAAAACGGGAGGAAGCAAAAAAGGCAAAAACAAAACAAACAAACGAAGAAAAAAGTTGGACTTCAAGGCTAAAAAGACGCAGCTGACCTCCCTTGAAATAGCAATGTCGAGAACGTGTTTTCTAACTTACGTGCCTTGAAATTTATTTCCTCACCTTTTTTTCCTCGCAGTGTTTAGTCTTCTGATCTTTTTTCTTCTGTGGCAGCTGAACATCACTAAAATTATTAGGAACACGGAGATACATCCCAAGATAATACCAATTATCGGCCAGCCCATAAAACCTGCAAGTTGGGAAGATCGTTAGATAGTGAATAGCTATTTGTTTTGGAATTTACCTCTGAGGTGATAATTATTAAAAAATTAAAAATAACCGGTAGAGGTCTAATATAAGAAAGTTCAGGCAGTTTCCTATTTCTCCCTTAATGAGTAAGATCTATCGAGTTCGTAGTTAGAACTCTTTAGTATCAGTGGAACGAGACACAAGTGCTCAACGGTGTACACCACCACCTAAGTAATCGTTCCCTTCTACCCAGAGGCTATTCCTGTTGTTAGAGCTCCATGAGCTCCACTTGCGACTAAGAACTTGCAGGCAAGAAAGATCAGTACAACGGGAAGAAGATGGTTCAAGCCAAAGTCTGTGATTTGAAGAACAATTGGATGGAAAAAGAAAACTACAGGTTGCTGCAGATACAAGATATGTTAAGAAGTTTCTCGGTGAACTCAAGGCTGTGTAGGTTTCAACCGCTAGAGGAGTCTGTCTTCTCCTTGACCTTGATGCACAGACCTTGATCGAAGAACCAGAAGATATCATTGAGAGATGGGCATAGCATTTCAATTTTTAACTCAACTATTTGTGGAAAGATTTGCGACGCTGGCATTGATAAAACTACTCCAAAGTTCAGTAATCATGGAGCTTGACTACATGCCAACAGTTGCTAAAACAACCAAGGCAATTCACCAACTTTCAAGCGACAAAATTCTGGGTGAGGACGGTACCTCACCAGAATTGAACAAGCATGGTGGAGACGCACTTGTGGCTGCGCTTTCCCGGCTTTTCAAACATCTATGGTTAAGGAAAAGGTCCCACAAGAATTCAAAGATACTTGATCATTCAACAGTACGAGAACAAAGGAGACAGACCGGTATGTGACAACCATCCAAGCATATCCTTTCTCAGCGTGGTTGTAAGATTCCCCGCCAGTGTGATCGTCAACCGCCTAATGACACAGCTTGATGGCACCTTTCTGTAATGACCAGTAGTGAACTTAACACAACTGCAAACTGATTTATTCACTGTTAAAAAAAAAACCGTATACAAGTCACGATGGAGGTATGCAGTCACACGAAAGTTAGGCACCTACAAATCGTAATTTAGCATACTTCCAAAAAGCCGATGTGGCCTTAGGTCGAGGCACCCCTTACATGCACTTTGCATAGAAGAAAACCTCGACCTGTACATGGTGCTCGTTGCCCCTTGCCAGAGAGTTTGACTCTAAAAGCCGTGAGGGACTCTGGAAACTCCTCTGAAGATTGGATGTCCACCAAGAGTAGTGAAGATTATCTGCTCATTTTATGATGGCATGATGGCACTTGAATCCGATTTGTTTTTTCCACTTTTGTTTGGCATAGTCCTCTCTATGATGTTCTAGGACGCCCTCAAGGACTGTTGCAAAGATGTCGCGATGAGATTCAGGGCAGACGGCGGCATTTTCTGCCTACAACGCTTCAAAGCTAAGTCGAAGGTCTCACTAATGTTCCTGCGTGAGTCACTCTTTGCAGATGACTGGGCACTCTTGGCTTACTCTGAAGAAGATCTACGAGACATATTAAATGAGTTTGTCACGGCAGCCATTCGTTACGGCCTCACAATGAGCATTATAATAAAGTTCGGATATAACGCGCGCTGTCACTGGCTGAAAGAGCGTGCTCTATCAGAGTATAAAACGTAGAGATAAGCTAAAAAAAGTCATGCCATCTGCCAAATTGTACTATGTCCGACCAGTTTCTATGAGAGTACGGAGCATGCTGACGGCACTGTATTGTTCGCTTTGGAAATAAAGTTTGTTTTGAAAATTGAAAGTAATGCATGGGGAATTTAACGGATTCGTGATTATAAAACAAATAGAGAAGCCTTGATTGTACCCTGTTATGTTTAAAGCAATTAGGAAGCGGCAAGAGCACTCAAGAAGTCGGGAGAGACACTTCTTTCTTGCTCTAGCTGCTTCCTGCGTGGTTAACAACGGAACAGAGCACAGTCAAGGCTTCTCTATTTGTCACGATTCTGTGAACTCAAAAGGGTTGTTTATTGTGCGAACTCGACTGCCGCCACGTGTGTATTCGTTGTCTCTCAAGTCTTCTAAATATAAAGATGTTTATCGGCCCAGTGGCGTGACCGTGTAACGCAATATCACGACACTATTTGTTAGTTAAAGAGCCCTAAGCAATGTTTAGATAAGCGATGAAAACCTTTAAGTCGAACAAACGTCTGCTTCCTGGGTGGCTTCCTTTCTCAGAATGCAGACGTTAATAAAAATCACGTCACGTATTTACAAAGCAAGTGCTGTTTCGGGAAGATTGGACCATCGACTCTGGTCAGACCATGGAATTCAGCTAACCACAAAGGTCGGTATCTACAGAACAGTAGTTCCGACAACATTGCTGTATACGTGTGAGGCTTGGACATGATATCACTAACACCTCAGACACCTTGATCAGTTTCGTCTCAGATACTTTTGCAAGATCTTTGGCATGTCCTAGAAGGACATGGTACCCAACACCACCGTAATCCCTTTGGGAGGACCCCTCTGTAAAGCACTTTTAGTAAAGTGGGTATCCTCAATAAAGATTTACGTTACCCGCAATTTAGGGGAATCGAAGTACTCCTCATGAAGAGCCAGCTCCGCCGGATGGGCAGGACATCTTATCCGCATGGAAGATAACCGTATTCCAAATGCTATTTCCTATGGAGAAGTATTCAGCGGTTGACGATCTCGTGAAAGCCAATACAAGAGGTATAAGGATGTTCTAAAATCCAGCCTTAAAAACATGCGACCTTCTCACCAACACCTGGCCATCAGCCGTCCAGGGTAGCTATCGACCTGCCATGCTGCTGTTAAGAATTTTGAACTCCATCTCATCAAGCATCTCCAGCATCTCCGTGACCTACCACATCCTGTTGTTGATTACTTCTGCCCAGAATGTTAAAGAGTCTGCCGCTCTCGAATTGGCCTGATCGGCCATTGTAGATAGCACTCCAGTGATCATCAGTAACCATAAGAAAGAGGATTTGTCGAAATCGACTGCTCAGTCCATCCAGAGATGATGGATGGATGGATGGAACATGGATGAGAAATGTGCCTTCGTTTATTGGTAGTAACAGTGTTCATATTTGAGGTAAATGATGAAAAACTTGAACTTTAAGGGAAACACTCACACAGTGGTTCATCGCTCTTCTTTTGTTGTTGTTTTTTTTTAAGATTGTTTTTTTCGAACACTTTTTCATCTTCTTCAAATCTCCTTTCAAGCCCCGTTGGTTAAAAAGTTTCAAATAGATTTAACTTCATTGCCATATTCTATATACTTGTTTGTATTTTTAATGTCGTCAATTGAATTACTAAAGTCAATTTATGCTTTTAAACATGTAAGCGGCACAGTTATCTTGAGCAATCAAGAATCGTGCATTTTAAGTATGATTTACAAATTGATGTTGTTGCTGTCTCTGTTCTTCCCACTCTTTGCAAGGATAAACTTGATACAAAGCAGATTGTAAAGACTCTTACCTGTCTTACCTGGATCGATTTGGGTCTTTTTTCGCCAAGTAGCTGAGAAGTTGCTTTGACCCACATCATTCCAAGCAGACACTGCAAACTCATACTGTGTGTCGCACCGTAATGACCACTGATGGCTAGTTACTGACACTTCATTAATTTCAATCTTATTCCAAGAGGATTTTTCGTGTCTGTAGTAAATAGAGTACTTGGTGAGCGGACATGAGGCATCTTCACTGACAGTCCATGTAAGATTGACTACACAGGCAGACATTTCCAGCTTCGTGATAACAGGGGGAATTGGTTTGTCTGTTAAAAATAAAGAAAGCAGAAAGACAAGCAATCTGAGAGAAGAACTCAGAAGTAAAGGTTTTTCACCAAAAAGACATCGTCAGTGAATTACTCGTCCATAAACTAAAAAGAAGAGTATTTAGCGGCAGATAAAGGCAACTTTAAGCAAAGAACCAGACGGGGATACAAGCGCGATTTCCAATACATGAAAGTTTTTAAAGATACTCAAGAATAGGGATAATACCACTGATAATTTTTTTAACTCTCTACTTACTGCTGCTAATTTATTCAATTTTTTCCAGTAACAAATCTCTTTCATCCGAAACAAACATTCTCACCGTCACGAAAATTCTAAAAGCATTGTTAATTGTCTTACGTTCAGCGTATATGGCCTCTATCACCTTACTGACATTTTTAAGATCTGATACTGATAAGATGAAAACGAAATTGAATATTTATCACATAATCTAAGCAAGGCAGTCACGTGTAACGCACGATTTCCCCTAAGGCTCCATATGTCCATTACCTCCACCAGTGGTTACTTTCCAGACCCTGCTGTCCTTCAGAGACGACTCTCCGTTTGAATTCCACGCTGTCATTGCAATCTGGTATGCTGTCCGACAGAAAAGCTGAAGATGGTACGTGGTTGAGTTCTTTGGTAGCATTCGAGGCGATGTTGACGTCCAATTGATAGCGCTGTTTTTATAGTATATGCTGTAAGCATGCACTGGGCACTGTCCCTGTAGAGGGGGCATCCACTTCACCAACACAATGGAACTCTTTACTTGATTTGTGTTTTTGTCTATAACTGGGAAACCTGTCACGTGGATTGCAAATATTAGTAGAAAAAGTTGTTTTGTGATTTTGTGGATAGATGAAGACTTGCGGTAAGTGCTTAATAGTAACTACTCTGGACCTTTCCTGTGATCGAGAATATACAATAGAACATTTGTAACCTAGTACACACCTCTAAGAGCGTCGACATTATCATCAGTCACTGAAGAGTTTAGTAAATACAGATCCATCACCGATCCGTATAACTGAAAAGTTCTGTTGCGCCAACCATCAGGCAAGTTTCCTATGGTACATGTCGGTGCTCCGGAGAAATAATCAATTCTTTGCCAAAGTGATGCATCTTTCTGCTTCTTTCCGTTGATGTAGAGGATGAGGTTACGATCTTCTTCCCTGAATGTTATAGCAAGGTGTGTCCAAGTGTTATATGCGATTTTTCCGTTGCTTTTTAAGAGGTCGCTGCGATCGGTGTATAGAATCACTGTCAAGCGGATCACTTGGTCCTGAACGTACAAGTAGAAACCATTTTTTTTGTTTCTTTTGTCCGCATAAAACGTTTGATTGGTCAAGCCATCCGGAGCAAACTTAAACCAAAGGGAGAAGGTAAAACTTTCATCATTGAGGGCCAAACAAGGAGCTTTTACGGAGGTGGCATTGGTTCCTCTGTGGAAACTAAGCGACCTGCTTTCGGAGCATCGATCATTCGTAAATTCCGAGTCTTTGTACCTGAAAAATAACTCAACTTTATGAACCTGGAAATAGAACCTTTAAGTTAAAGTGTTAGTGTCAGGAACTCTCTCTCTCTTGCTTTCCATCACTTACTATATTGTCAAAGTTAAACCAACGGCGTTGCTCTAATATGTGTTTCCAGGCCAGCTCTGATAATTACACACCTGGCTGCATCTATTGCATTCTAGAAACTGAGAGCTCAGATATCCAAGCGGTCGTTCTTGACAATAAAACAGGCAGACGTAATTCGCCTTATCATTTAAAAGAAATTAGATTTTCGACTTTTAACAGGCGATTAGTTGAGTATCGAAACAAAGAAGCTAGTTTCGAAAACTTGAAATCAACTGATTTTCCTAACTTCTCACCGACACGAAGGATATGTCAAAGAATCCAAACATTTGACTGAAAAGAACCTCCTAGAAATTAGAAAAGTTCTCATTGACTAATAAAAGAGCAAAGGAGTAAAAATCTTTTTTTAAAATGGGAAGCCAGGATGGATTTCCAGCAATTGCTGTAAAGCATAGCGGTTGCAGCGAGTGCAGTAAATCAACAAATCAAAATATACGTAGGGTAATTAATAATCATCAACTGAGTTGATAACGTAAATTGGCCACCGCGGTAAAGAGTTTAAAACTCCTGTTATACTCTCCCACCGACGCAGTTTAAAACTCCTGTTATACTCTCCCACCGACGCAGTTTGAAACTCCTGTTATACTCTCCCACCGACGCAGTTTAAAACTCCTGTTATACTCCCCCACCGACGCAGTTTGAAACTCCTGTTATACTCTCCCAGCGACACAGCTCCACAGTTTCTTTAAAAACTTACTCCCTTTGAACTACAGTGTCAAGAGAGTCGAAAGCTAATTTTGGAAGGACATTTATTTTATTAAATTAACCCTCTTATAGAGAACCTAGAGGCGCATTACTTGCGCAAAATCGCGGTGTGGGTTAGACCTCGTGTAAGCAATCGGCAGATTGGGTTTATATTTACTAATAACATCAATGATACTCACCCAATGTCTTCTTCACTTCCATTTAAAGGCCAGTAAACATAATCAAAAGAGCCTGAAAATCACAAAAGGGGAAACAACGTTTGACTTTCGATTGTTTTGGTTAAAGAAGACAAGTATCCGTATGCTTTGAGTTTTCAGAACGTCAAATCCAATGATACCAAGAATCATTTGTTTTACTTTAGCTGGTGGATGAGAATTGAACTGATAACCGTTACTAAAACACCAAAGTACATGCATTCAGATAAACAAAAAGTGAGATTTGAAGTACCAACGAATGATTAATAAAACTAACTCACCGACTTTCGAAACGGCAAGAACACAACAGTAGTTCTGTTAATGATAGAAATCAATTGCAATTAGCTATTAAAACATTTACTAGATATCTTTTAATTTCTCTCATCAAACTTATGATAGCGTAAACACATCTTGGAGAAGTAAAATAATTAACAAAATGCATCCGAAGAAAGAAAAAATTTCAAAGTCTCTTAAAATATTCCCAAGTGTTCTGCCAGTGATGAAGCTTCCATCACCTGGCTACATGTCGTCCATAAATCGTCGAGAATATCTAAGTAGATAACAAAATGCTCTCATGGACCGTGCTAGTAATCTTACTTGTTTGTTAAATCAGTTTTGATGAAAATTTTCCAACGTCTGGGAAATGTTGGGAGATTGTGAGAAGTGACCTTTTGGAAGAGCGACTGCTTTAAGCACCCTAATGTGATCGTGATATAACTTACATGTCTACATGAGTACAATAATCAACACACATGGAATTGGCAATGTCAAGGATTTCCTTCGATGATTGTGCCTATGAAATATCAAAGTCCCAATGCGTTTCCAAGGATTTATGGTAATACAACCAAATAATAAACTTGGACATCCATTGGGTTACATCCGCCATTTCAGTCCTGGTGTAAAGCCAAATTTTTAAATTGTAAATGAGAAATTCTATCATTTCTGTTTCCTTTATCAGCTTCTCGAAAAGTAACACTCAGTTCTACCAACGAACAGCTTTTAGGTAGATTAAAATTTCAGCTACTAAGAGCTGCTCCAAGTGATGGGTTTGAAGCTTGATTTTATCAACATTTATTTTTATAATTACTCAATAGAGATGTGCATAACTTCGAAGATCATTCTCGGTTTCAAGCGACAACAAAGTTGCTAATGACTAGTCGAGTCTTCTTTAATAGGATGCAAAGGAGGGTCTTTGCTGTAGGTTTGCTGCAGAGCGACACATTATCTTTAAAGTCGATTTACACTGTTTATATTTATATATTTGAATGATTTTTGTTTTTGCGTATAATTACCTACAAAACGTCATCAAAATAGCCATAAGGCCGGTGGTATTTGAAACTTTCAAAGTTGTGACGTAATAATCTTTAAAAGCTTTGCCTATATTTAATTATCTAGCACTTAACTTACCACAAGAATGATGTATAAGGGCACCTTGTTTTCATAATAACACCTGCAGAAAAAGGAATCAATTTGAATCTTATTTTCAAAGTCGGAGCATCGTTTTCCACAAATATACATGAAAGTTTCCTTTCAAAATGCGAATTCAGTCATAAGAGTTAAATGTTGTTTGCTCAAGTACACAAATTTCGGCATGAACCACGATGTCGCCATGGGTGAAGTTAAAAATTGTTAAATACAAATATCTTGAGGTAAATGTATTTTTCACAAAATTACCTGATCGCCATGTTTCCACTTTGACCCTGCCTGGTGTCAGTTTGTTATGAGGTATTTCCCGTCGACAAAGTATGGATCGGCGATTAAACTGTAGATATGATGTATTCAGTAAAACACAAAAAAAGATCCTAAAACTGCTGAAGATGCATGATGCTCCTAAAAGAAGGAATTAGAACATGAGGAAATTTGCTTAGATAGCGAAGTACAACATACTTGCTTCTCCCTGATTTTGGTGGAAACTAACCCTAATAGATAAAGAAGTGAACCTACCAGAAAGCTCAGTTTTCTACTACATGAATCTTGACGGAAATTTGAGACCTTCCGAATTTCATTTGCATTTGCCGAACATTTTTACGCAAACAACTGCCAACTATAGCATGCACTAAGATGTCAGCGTAATATTCTAAACGAGGTGTTTTTAACATTAAAAAAAAAATTAGTAACACTACTACTAATAATAAAAAAATATAATTGCCCAAAAAAAACTTATAAGACAAGAGGGTTGCTACTTTTCAGTATGCCATAATATTCCACAGGAAAGAAAAGGAACAGAAATGAGTTTATACTGAACAAACAAATTTCTAGTAACATGACCGGTCTCTGATTAAAATTTTAAACACTTTTAAGAATCACATATTTTGCATCGGTCAAACTTCGATGGTAACAGTTGTATGCCACCGCTATCGAATGGACAAACACAATAGCTCAGTTAGTAATGAATTAGGTCGATCAGACGCCTATATCTCCTCTATCCGTCTAAATGGAGGGTATTTGTCTCTAACTAAAATATCATAAATGGCGTAAGAAGTTTCCTACTCCGTTCGGATCTCCATCTCATTATCTCAGTTTTAAGCACAAAAGACTATAATAAAGACAACAGTCAAGCAAACTGTTATCAAACTTCTGCAAACCGTAGTATTAATTAATAAGGTCGACTTGTTGAAAGAAAAAACATATATTTTCTTTATTGGCAGCTACTGGTAAAAGAAGATTTAGAGGTGAGTTCTTTGGGTACAAGTTTTGAATACATTTATTTAAAAATCATCTGATAAAGAAGTAATTTTAATCACAAAGGGAAAGATAAACAGCATTTACCTCGATTTTATCGCGTCAAATTCAAAAGCAAGCTGAACCGGCATACACCCACAAAGAGAGCTAATTTTCTGAGGAAGTTTTAACCGAGCTTCTACATCAAGTAAGTCAGTGTGAAACATCTGCTACCTGTTATGACTCATCCCAGCTTTTAGGCGCATAGATAAATAATTGAAATTACTTCCTCTTACCAGTCTTGATATCGAGACTGCAGTTTTAAATTTCCTCACGTCTTTCTTGCGCCTTCCCAGACCAACTCTTTTGACTTACGTAACTTTACCTACCGCTAAAACAAAGTGCTTGATATGAAAAAGAAAAAAAATCTAGGTTCTCGGGTTATCCGTAGTTCAAACATGAAACACCCTAAGGCGTTGTTACCGTTATAAATCCTTTTCTGCCCTAAAAGTAATCACTGTTATAGTTTCAACTATCATGATCAAGAAAACGAAAATTACCTTGACAAATGTTATGATAGCCTTCATTCAGAAAGCCTGAAGCTCTCACCACAAGTGCAACCACAAAAATTGTCCACTAACGAAAAATATGGCTAAGTAGGCGAGCTTTGAGGGTTGAGGGATCTGATGCTTAAACGCTGAAATAATAGTGAAATTTTCTTTTCCTTTTGAGCATATACTGAGAGAAATATGAGATCGAATGTACTACGCTAACGTAAATTCAGGTCCAACTTATCAAACAACTCTAATAAAGAAGTTGTAGTAGTTTTCAGAGCACAATTTAAAGCTTGTAAAGAGTTTCAGCGGAGTCAGTTCTAATGTCGATCCTGAAATGCAGTTAAACATCAACGAAGGTAATACTGCATTTCAAATACTCAATCAACGACTGCGTTATAGCTGCCTTAGTCATCATTGACTGCGCAAAAAAAGTAGAACAATGAGAGCAGCAAAACCAAAATAGAGTGAAACCACATAATAAGTGAGGACCTAAAATGGATCGGTAAAATTTTGATTTATACCTTTCCTTCTCCTGCTGCGAATAAGCATTTGTGCGTATCTTGCGTGTGTTAACCCTCTGAAGTTTTTTTAATTTGTGGCCACAAACTATATGCGTGACTGGATTGTAAATTAAATTTCACGGCACTAAATGATTGGTCAACCCATGAAATAGCTTGCTCGGCTTCCGTTCTCGCTGTAATCATGTGATTAACCTTTCCTTCCCAGAAACTAAAGCGGATAACATGAGCGACAACTAAATTCCTTTTCAGCGATATTGGCAAAATTTCCGCATAGCCCCATACTTCGTTCATTATGTATCCATAGATGGGGCTTTATTATTCAGTGTATGACCAATAAGATGTGCATGCATAAGGAACTATGGGGCTGTGCGGAGATTTTTCCGCGATATTCTCGGAGGTTTGAAAGACTCTCTCACCTTTAGCATCATTATGACGAAATTTCCGCAAATAGATATGTAACTGAATTTAATTAGTCTACAATCTCGCCTTAATTTCCCATTACTTTCAGCAAAATCAATATAACCTTGAAAGGCAATATTCCTCAGTAGAGTTAATAAGGCGCTTTCTGACAGAAAACTGAGGGGAAGTGCTTAAAGTAAACCACGCGAGTGTTTTAAAGCTGTGAGAGTTTGTGAGTCTGTTTGTTGTTTTGGCATGTAAAAATGTTGTCATGTATGAAATCTGTTAACATAAAATGGTTTCCTCCGTCAGTTACTCAGTTACCACCCAGCGAAAAAAAATCTGTTATGGCGGTACATGAAGCTCCATGATAAGCTTGAAGTCGTAAAACTTAAACTGAAGACTCTGGCTTGTCTTAGTAAGTTTGTGACTTCCTCACTCAGTGAGACAAATTAGACCCTGCATATTTAAATGAAGCCGTCTTTTATCGCTCTCTACTTCCGGTTCCACACAAAAATTCGCTGTTAAAAACTGTACACAAATTTTACGCCTACCATTAGCTGGAACTCAGGTACTAGAAACATATTCTCGGTAATATTATACGTAGAGTATTTCGTGTAGTATTCAGGTCCACTCGCAGAATTTGTCAGTCGGTCAGCTCACGTCAAAAGCCAAAGCACGTGACTTAAAGGGCATGTAAACCCAAAAATAAATGTTTTTCTTATACTATGTAAAAAGTTGCTTAGAAAACGAATTTGAAATTTGTTATGTCCAATTCGACTTATTTAAGGAGAAAATCGGCATTTTCAACCGAAATTCCATTTCCGGTAAAAACAACAGCGAGAAGTCGTGACGTAAGCGGTGGAACTAAAATATTGCGCAACAAATATTTTACAGTAGAACCAGTGTGGGAGCTCGTGTAAGTAGCAGTAGTTCGGAAGATGTTTTTCCAGAAGATAGCGACTCGAATGCCTTAAGCTTAGTATATGACAGCGAAGGGGATAATCCAGAATCTTTAGGAGAGTCTGGGCCACGTCCTTAACAATATGAGCCGCGTATGGTTCACCGAAGCGAACCGCATGAAGACAGTACAAAACATGTTGATGGTATTTAATTTACTGTGTAATTTATTTGTATTTGACACGAAAATCCAATAAAGCAAGGGTACAATCTAAAAGAATACAACAGAAATTTTTTAAACCTGAGCTTCAGAGGGTGTTTCATATAATATTATCAAAGGTGCGAGTATGGAACTTGTCAGCCAATGCCGACAATTCATGAAAGTGTTTGCTGTACGGAAATCGGGTAATTGTGGCAAAAAGTAAAGGAGCAAGGGCCTGAAACCCAGATAAGTTGTATCACTGAGCATCCAGGTTTTCAGTCAATTTGCCTCGATGGGTGCTGGAGACGGCCTATTACGCGTACAGGCAGCAGTAAGGCACAGATAATCACACAGGCGAGTAAGCTAAATCTGCTAAATGTTTTCTGTTTCATCTGTTTTATTTTACATTTTGAGATCGTTTTACTTGAGTTGTTTCTGTCGTTGATTTAATAATACAATACTACAGCAAGCTGTTTTTCGCTTCTTTCCTGGCAAGAAATTTCGCTAAATTGCATACAGATAGCTTATTCGTTGGTGTTGGGATTATCTCGGCAAACATTTCAGAGTCGCTGTGACATCTTGTGCGGTAAACAATATTCGCAACACTTTTCCATCGGATTTTGGATCGTCTTACATTGGATTAAAACCGCCAAACCTTTGAGAGAAACAAAGGTTAATGCAGATCTTAGTTATTCATGTCCTACAGCACTGGCGGTTGTGCCCGTTCTTTATGACATATAAGTGTTTTGCTTTCCTTCATCTCCGAAGCATTTTCATCGATAAACAAGTTGTAACGTGTATATTTTCTTGTGTGGCCTTCATAATTATCCAACCCTGTTTGTATTTGCTTCGATTTGAAATACTGAAAAGGTAGTTTTGCAAGCTGAAATCGGAATCTTTTAAGTTCTATTCAAAATGATAAATATTGTCCTACTGACCTTTGAATGTACTTTCACAGCTGTGAAAACCGTGACACAAATTCTTCTGCTGTTTCTCTACAGGGTTTCTCAAAGGAAGCAAGTGGGGCTGGCATGGATTCCCTTATAGAACATAAAACCGGTTGATTATGGGATCCTGTATATAATTTTTTATATCGAATCAACAAAATTCCAGGTAATGTTATTACAGACCGACATCAACGAATTCTCTTTCTTTGATACGTGTTTCGAATTCAGGCAAAGGTTATGACAGATCACGCAGTGTCTTTTATGGGCTCAGCGCTGGCTCCCGAACAACTGGCTTCCCCATAATCTTTCAAAAAAAAAAACAGCTAATGAAAGCGCATTGTTCCTGTGGTATCTTTAGGAGAAGCAAGGTTGAAAAGAGGTTGGTCGTAATATAAGGCCAGGACTACATAAAAATTCTGATATTACTTCCAGTGCTTTTTAATATCTAACTTCCTCTTTGTTTTCAGTTCAAACCTATAAGAACCGATAGGAAATTGTCATTCTGTGATCAGTGAAAATTATTAGTTTTTCCAGACTGATTTTGTGGCAAATCTTTAGTCTTTGTTGTTCATGGGTCAAAATCGACCGAGTTCGCGGCACAAGCAGGATTCAATTCATTCCCAAGTATGAAATCAGACCAAAACTCTCGATTTAATTGCCCATTTTAAGGCTCTTGACTTGAATCGAGACTTGAATTCAGTCGCAAATAAGATAAAATGAAAATAATGTATTTGAGTGGTTGTTCGTCCTAGTGTCCCATTCTGCTTGGGAAAAAAATGCAATCAGGAGTAAGCACGAGAGCAATTTGTGAATAAATCAGTTTGTTGAGAACCAATTACATTGCAAAGATCACACATCCACACACGCAAGAGCAAAATGAGAGTAGAAAACAGTCAACAAAATTCACAGTCTTATAATTTTATTTTTAAACTTTCACACGTGAATTGTATACTCAATACATCAGTTAGACTTACAAACTTACTTACTCATTTATTACATCATTCACTTACTCATTTAGACTTACTCATTTACAAATGATACAACGTTCTCTAATTTACAGAACGAATTTACAACAGCGGTAGTTGTATCGAACCTTCGCATCTTTATAGTATGCCCATCTTATCAGGTGAAAACTGGCCAAGAAATAGTCAGAGGGGCACTTAACATTTTGCCTGTCGAGATACATTATGGGGGCATTGGACCTCGCATCCCAGTTGGTGTTTCTTTCGTGACATCGGACTTTAGATCGGTCCACTCTGTTTTCCAGCCTGGTGAGACTTGACTCCAACGAGGAAAGCCTTCTTCGTAGATGCTACACATTCATTGATTAAAACAGAAATCGAATCGCCAATCAGTTCATCGCACGTTCCAGGTTGCAAAGTAATATATGTTTTTTTTTAACGTTCATCATGGTTCTTATTGGTGTTACCTTGTATATCCCAGAGTCTTTTGCAGGGTCCTCGCTTTCTGATCCACTATGCACCTTTCCTGTTTCGTCCTTAAACTTTTTCAGACGCTCGGCAATATCCTGAATAGATAACAAGGCAATATTTGTTCAACGATGTATTACTTCGACTGACGCACCGTAAATGAATACATACAGCAGTTCTCATAATCAGCCACGTAACAAAATGTTTATAAATAAACAATCAAACTTCATTTCCTGATGTTCAAAAGCCCACTTAAATCACATGCACTTCTTTAGCGTGTATTAATTCTTGTTCCCTTGCTCACAGTTGTGATTCCTTTGTTTCTTTAGAGGGTAGAAGCTTGTTTTGTCCACAACTCGTGTCAAGTTGATACTTAATTAAATTTTGCAAAGTCATTCAAACAATTGGTTCAATTTCCTTCACATTTATGCCCTCAATAGGTTGTTTGATTATCGGTCAAACTATGCTTGACTTCATAAGGGGCTAGCACCCGGTTTCTTGTCTTAATTCTTTGTAGTACATGTTGTGGTGCCTGATTTTTGCAAGAAGCTCTCTTTCGATATTGGTGAAAAATGTTCTTTTTCGTTTTGTTTTTCTTCTAATGGTACCTCGAAGAAATGACTTGTCATTTTTTTCAGATATTTTTATGTTTGTCACCTCAGGCAAAGTAAAATAGTGGCTCTGTTATACAGCTCGTGGTAGGCCAAAGAAATTTATGAATGGAGCAAAACGGCAGATTTTCCAGTGGCGCGTCAACGCTACAAAAAATGTACTTTGTAGCGTAGGAGATCTAACTTACTAACTGAACAAAAAAGATAAAAAGAAAACAACTTTGAAATTTTTGAGCTATTGAAATCGCAGAAATTACTTGCTTTCCATTGTGGTTAATCTTCGACACCTTGTGCACAAACTGCAAAGGGAAGTAGATCGTTTTTGTTGCGAAGAGAGTTGATAGAATATTTCAAAGTTATTTGAAGATTTTAGGCAATACTGCAATGCCGTATTGGAACTCCATCTCGTGTCATTTATAGTATACCTTGGAGACCTTTGTGTGAGCATCTTGCGTTCTCTGCATCAGTCGTTCTTTCCTGATGGCGGTCAGCTCAGGGTTATCCTAAAAAAAAAGGAAAAGAAAGCCCGGCAACGAAATGAAAGTCTTTTTTAGTCAGCAGTCATGAAAAATCGCATCAAATATCATCAGCGTTAATGCCTACATTTATAAAAGTATTTACAAAAGACGCGAAGCCTCTATTATTAAAATTCTCACCATTATTTCTTTCGTTTCTCGCAGAGGTGAAGCGTGACTCAAGGAAGACATGTAAGACATCAGGGCACAACACAGAAAAATTCTACCGATGGCACTCGCTAAAATCTTCATGATACATACATACATACATACTTTATTTATTCCAGAAGCAGATGATAACTATTATATACAAATAAAACTAAAAAGAAAATACTTCTAGAAAAGGAAGTTAAGAGGTTATCCCTGTGTAAAAACTCCCTTAAAAGAAAAGACAAAATATAAATCAAAATCATTACAATCAAATATTTAAGTACGATTTAAGTTTAGATTTAAAATGCTGAAAGCTGTCAGCTTCCACTATATCACCCGGTAACTCGTTCCATAATTTGACAATCCTAATAAAAAAAGAATTTTTGTAACAATTAAGTCTAGCTGGTTTAATATAGAGTTTGTATTGATGATTTGCTCTCGTAGACCGAATCGTGGCAATATCAAAGAAGTCTTCAAAATTTAAATGATAAAAACCAAAAACTATCTTATAACATTCGACTAAAGATAAGTAAGTTCTACGGTCAGAGAGAGTGGGCCATTTTAACAGTTTGCATCGGTCTTCATAGGACATTTCTCCTTTGCGTTGATTTAAAGCGAGTCTTGAGGCTCTTCGCTGTACATTTTCAAGGGCATGGATGTCCTTAACAAGGTAAGGACACCAAACAGGTACCGCATATTCCAAGATTGGCCGTACCAGAGACATGTACAGCATAGAAAAAACATTTGTGTTAGCGGTGCCTACTGAGCGTTTAATGGAACCTAAAACTTTGTTCGCTTTATTGACAGTGATACTTATGTGATGGCCCCATGAAAGATCTTTAGTTAGTGTGACACCGAGATCTTTAAAATTAGTCACATCTTTCAGGGGCTTTTCTAAGAAATAATTAGTTACCGACTTATCGCGTAAATGCGTGATTCGCATAGATTCGCATTTGTCTGCGTTGAAACGTAGCTGCCACTTACGAGCCCATGCGCTAAGATTATTAAGATCATCCTGAAGAAGCTGACTATCTTTTATAGGGTCAATTATCTCTCTGTAGATCTTCGTGTCGTCTGCATATAGTTTTACTGTAGATGATAGGAATTCAGATATGTCATTAATATACAATAAAAACAATAGGGGCCCGAGAATGGTTCCCTGTGGAGTTCCGGAGGTAACGCACGACCAATCAGAATAAGATCCCCTAACGACTACACGTTGTTTGCGCCCCACCAAAAAATGTCTCAGCCAGTTGAGTAAACATTCGTCGATGCCGCTACATTTCAATTTTAAAAGCAGTCGCTCATGAGGAACGCTGTCAAAGGCTTTGGCAAGATCCAGAAAAACAACATCGGTAGGAGTGGATGAATTACGGGATTTCGCCCAGTCATTAAACGTTGATAACATTTGAGTTGTAGTAGATCTTCCTCGTAAAAAGCCAAATTGGTTGCTATTGATAAAGTCGATTTCGCGCCAGAACTTAATCATCCTATCAAAAACAATTTTTTCACAGATCTTACAAGCAATTGAAGTAAGGGAAATTGGGCGGTAATTTTCTCTCGAAGATTTGGAACCCTTCTTATGTAGAGGAGTAATGTCGGCATGTTTCCATTCCTCAGGCAAAAGGCCAAGAGACAACGATTTGTTTATCATATACGTTAACGAAGGTGCTAATTCCGAAGCACACGACTTAAAAATGCACGGCGCGATATGGTCAGGCCCAGGAGACTTGTTGGGCTTGAGTTTCAGAAGATGGCGTTTGACCTCATTGACAGAACAATCAATTTTCGCAAGTTTCTTGTCAACAGTGCAGTCTTGAGTGGGAAAATTTGCATAATCTTCGGTAGTAAACACCGAAGAGAAATATGAGTTCATACTCTGAGCAATACTGAAGTCGTCAGTCAGAGCACATCCATCGACGCTTATAGAGATGAGATTATTAGTGCCTCTTCTCTTGGACTTAACAAAATTCCAGAAAGGTTTCGGGTTTTCATTTTCCTGTAGATCAAGTGCAAGTTTCTTTATATACGACCATCTAGCTGTGTTACAAAGTCTCTTAACAGAATTGTTGAGTTGCCGATATTTTTCCCAAATAGTTGAATTGTTTTTTCTGCGAGCTCTATTATACAATAATTTCTTCTTTTTGCACAAAACAATAAGTTCCTGTGTAATCCAGGGGGCACTGGATCTCTTTTTATTCTTGCGTTTGGGAATGCACTCATCCACTGCTGTAAATAACAAGTCTTTCCAGCAAGCCCAATTATGATTAATATCGCTGTCGAAGAAGGCGCAATGCCATGGAATATAAGATAACAGCGATGATCAGGACAACAAACTGGTTTTGCAACTCCCAAGGAATTCAACAGTTCTTCACTCCTTCCAATACAACTAGATTCGCAACAAAGACACGGTTATATCTGTAATCAGCAATGTTTTCTTTTAACATGTTATGATTTTCTTGTTCCTAAACTATTAGCATATTTGCATCAACGTCATCATTACCTTTTGCCTTCAAGGTGAAGTTTTAAGTATTTCTTTTAATTTCACCTGTAAGTGATATATTTTTCTAAAAAAAAAATATAATAATGGCTTACGGTCGATGAAGTCAGCCTTTTGAAGGGCTTGCGGGCGTGATACAAAAGTTTGCAGATTATGCATGTATTAGATCGCCGCTTGTTTCAGCCGAACTAATGAACTGCTCTGATCCTGTATTTTTTTTTTAAGATTGAATAGAGCGTGGAATGTATAAACTACTGGAATCTGTCACTGATGGGATAAGAAGAAATTTGTTTTTTAAATTGATCACTATTTGTAATTTGGCGGCTCCACAGTGTTTGGGTAAAAACAATGTTATGATTCCTTTTCTATCAGTTCCGGGTTATCAATGGACCGATAACAGTTGTTTTTCACTTTGCATATCTTTGTTTTGGTTTATAATGATTCCAAGACACCAACTGATTGTTTCGTTTTAAATTCGTGGTTGAGTCTTATCGTTGAATCTTGACTTAACTCTCGTTGTAAGCTCGCTCCACCAACTAAGAAACTGTCATGACACTATAAACCGTTCATAATTTCTTAATAAAACTGAAACCAGTTTTTCCGAATTGACCGGCTTTCGATTGGAACCAGTGGGTCTACAAATAATTATCATCGAGCCACAGTCCTCGGTGTTTCATATTGATCATATAGTAATGTTCAAGAAGGAAACTGCTATTAATGCATCGTGCAAATGTTGAGTGTGCGTAGCTTGTAAAGGAAGACTTTAGCGGATTCACTTTTGAAAAAAAGGATCGTGCTCGAAACGCTGAGCTAAGAAGTTTGTAAACCGGAATCATTACGAACCTTCTCTTTCCAGTGTATCGAAAGAAATAGGACAGGGCAGAAAGCTGTGGTCACGAGCCTAAGACAAAACCAAATAGCGTCCTTGTTCAAAATTGTTTTTTATAAGCTGGATAACAATCATAAAACAAGAATGTTCGGTGTATCGTGGCCGTATGGCAGCCAACTCAACTCAATTTGTTTCAAAAAGGGTGCTGTCTGAAAGAGGCTTGGAGCGAACCCTTAGGAGGAGGAGGCTTGGAGCGAGCCATTCTCGCTTGCAGTCATATGAACTCCATGGACACCGCGATTTCGAGGAGATACGAGGAAAACAAACAAAGTTACTTGATATCTGATTTATTCTTGATTATCAGTTTTCCACTCAATCTATATTTTAACAGTTTACTTACAGTTTCGCATCAATCTTACTATGTATTTATTGGCTTTAATGATATACCTAGTTACAATAGTCAGCGCAAAAAAAAAAGGCACGAATGATTTTTTTTTAGACACAAACACGAATTTACAAAATTTTACAAAATATTGACAATATTGCATTTAAAACAAAACGATTTTGCTCTTTAAATTGTTACTTTAAGAGTCATGCAATCAAAATTAAATATATTTTTCTGTTATCCATTCTAATAAAAAACTAGTAAATAAACGCTTTAATTATCCTATTCATTCCTCTAAGTTCCGCAGAAAAGCTAATCCAAAAAAGAGGCCATTCAGTTTCTTTCTATTCGAAATAGAGTACGAAAAGTATATACAATAAGCATTAGAAATACATGTTGGGGGTAAAACCGAGTAATATAGCTAGATAAGGACAGAGGACTTTTAATACCGAGCATGCGTGACGTTTAGATGTTTTCAAAATGACGCAAACGTAAAGATTTAGGTCCCAATCCCCCTTCCCTCGCGGCCTGCGTCAGGATATTCAGGTGCACTTTTGCAACCATTTCTTAAAGCGCTGTCTTTGCTCCCCCTCGCCATAGGCTCAACTGTCAATGGTTTCAAGTCCAAAGCTGAATCTCTTAAATGGAAAATCAAAATGTATGTCTTCGGTGAAACAAATAACCGTGTCAAAATTCCTGGCGATAACAAAGATTCATTACTTCAAGAAATTTAATATAATCAACATGTACAATTTGTAAAATTTTATTGTTTGAATCCGGACTGAGCAATCAGACACCGTCTTTAGCTGAACAAAGCCATCTAATTATGGCTATAACAAGGATTTGTTTGCATTATTTTTCGTCTTTTTCCCGTAGTTTCCAACAGCCAAATATCAATTTGAATCTTATAGAGACAATAGCGGCAAAATTTCCGCACAGCCTCATCCTACATTATGCATTCAATTCTTGAACAGAGAAAACAATGACAAAAACAATACATTTCCATTAGGAAAACAGATTTGTTTTACAATAGTATGGGGCTGTGCGGAAACTTTACCACAATAGCTTCCATTTGGTTCCAAAAGTATGTTCCTGTATTTGTCCACTCACATTTCATTCTCCTCAAGCTCGAAGAAAACTGTGAGCTTTGTGGAACAGATTGTGTCCAAAAACAAACGTACGAACATATTTTCATGCCAGATGGAGGCTTCTGTGTGTATCATTCTTCAATATTAATCGCAGCGCACGGAACAAAATGTTTGCAACCATTTTACTGGCGAGAAACGCATTGACAATTAAGAGCTAGTCTAGTTACAGCAAAACTATTTGATGGATCATAATATCTGTACATGATTAGACTCATCACAAAAAGTAAAGGCATCGAA